AAGCGGCTACGCCAGCCCGGCGGCAGCCGCTGAGCAGTACTCGTACTACAGTACAGAGGAGGAACCACCAGTGGCTCCCAAACCCCAGCCCACGGCGGGCTTCCTTGAGACAATCAGGGCAGGGGCCAGGGCACGTCAAGGGCGCACCACCACGGCGCAGGGCGGCCCAGCTGGTGAACCCAGCAGCTCCTCTTCATCCTCCAGTTCGCCCAAACACAAGGAGAGCGAACCTGGTGAAGACCAGGATGAGGAGGAGAGCCCAGAAGGGCAGGCGGATAGGCCGGCAGGGGAGGCACTTAGCCCAACAGAGCCGGCGTGGTCCCCGCAAGAGGCCCCACCCAGCGTACCTGGTGAAAACCAGGCAGCAAAGCAAGAAGAGCCGGAGCCTAGAAGTGCGGCCCTCGAACCTGGTGTGAACCAGGCAGCAGTAAAGGAAGAGAAGAAAGACTCTGAAAGCCTTGAGGAGGCAAGCCCACCAGCTCCGGTGGGCACCCCGGAAGGGAGCAGCTCAGAAGAGCCAAGGAGGACCCGTGAGCTCCCTCCGGGGCCAGGCATTACCGGTCCAGAACCGGACTATGCCCAAACGATGAAATTTTTCATCTCCATGGTTTGTACGTGAAACCATGCCACAGCCGCTATAATGAGGCATGCGAAGTTGAATACTTCAGCACAGGGGCCTCAGAGGTAACCAGGCTCAGCCTGGTGATAGTTGGCCTCGGTGGATCACGAGTGGTCACGTTCACACCCCACAAACCGGGGGTGGTATGGAAACTGTCGGTCTACCCCCAAGACCAAGAAGTCTTGGTGTGCAGGGCCACGGGGGCCATGACTCCAGGCCTCGCGAAGCAAGCTGGTGTTCACCAGCTCTGCGAAAGAGGTCCTGGTGCAGACCAGGAGCCCAAATGGGTCACCCTCATCGAGATGGAGGCGGTGCACCCAATACCGGCACAGCTCAACACCTTTCAAGCCTTCCAGGCCTGCTTCACGGTGGCCCTCCTGGCGAAGATCCTCCTGGTGCGGGACATAGGGAGGGCCAACATGGGCCTGAGGTTCACACAACCAGGGCAGGCTGTACCGGAAATGGTGATGCTGGACGTGTTGGGGTGGGTCCCTTACCCCGAGGGAACCAAATCCCAATGGCCAAACGTCCAGCGCCTCGTGGGGTTCTGGAAATCCATCGATGATCCCCTGAAGGCTGAGCTCAAGATGACAGTGATAAAGCATCACACGTCGCTTGAGAGCACCACGGTTGCTCTCAAAGAGCTGGCGAAGGCCAAGCTCTCCAAGACGGATTTCGAGTCCCTCATGAAAGTGCTGGTGGCAACCAGCGTTTTGGCGGTAACGCCGGAGGGACTGTTGGGCCAACCCCTCCTCCCGGACGAGTACCGGCACGACTTGGTACGGGGAAAAACGTGGCTTGTCCTCCCCTTTCCGTAGGGACTGAGAGCTCAGGCTAAGGCCTGGACAACCCCAAACTGGTGCTACCAGTACCAGCCCTGCTGGTGAAAACCAGGCAACTGGTGCTAGTAGCAACCAGCCCAGCTGGTGTCTGGGCCAAAAGAGCTCCAGCTGTAGGGCCAAACCAGTCACCAAGACCTACAGAACTGGTGTCAGTAGTAACCAGCCCTGCTGGTGTAGCTCAGAAGGCTGGTGCTACTGACAAAGCTCTTCCAGCCCAGTGGAAGCCACTGGTGAGTAGAACCCACCAAAGGTGGGCAAAACCAAACCGCCTGTTTCACCCCAAACCGCCGGCCAATGGCCTGGCAGCGACTTGTTCGCCCACGACGAGAAAAGTTTGCTCCTTTTAGGTGTGCCCTTGAGTACCGACATGCTTGTTGTGCGCATGAGAAAGGGTTTCATCCTTTTTGCCTTGAACTGTTTTGTTTTGGAAGCTTGAACAGGCATTTGCATGGCGAACACATGTTTTAGCATGTTTGCACTTGTCTTGAAGACCATGATGAGCGCTTACAGTACTAGAGATGCTTTTGGGCATCCTTGAAGAAGTGCGTGTTGCTCTGACTGCACTGTTGCTGTTTTCCGCCGACCCTCGCTTCGCTCGTGCCGGTGGGAACAGGCCAAGGGACAGAGTGGCTGTGCACTGCTGTTTGAGTGAGTATAGAAGTCCTGAGAAGTGTTAGGACAGTTGCATGTCATTCCTCCTTTGTTTAGCAAAGTTGAGACGGAATTTGCTGCGCGAGACTCCGCAAGAGACCTTGCTGAACACTTCGGTGTTTGGCTCAAGCGTGGAGTGAAAAGAGACTTGCTCTGCGTTTTTCACAAATTTTGTGTCAAGACGCCTGTCAGTACCCGGCGTCCTGGAAGGTGCTGGGCTGCTGTAACACACAGGGTCTAGGGGGCTTCGAGTCTTAGCATCGCCTACAGATTCACCGCCTCAGTGAGAAAATCTCCGCCGAAGAAGCTGCTGCGGGCTGCAGTTGCATAGGCTGTGGCATGTCGGCCTTCGTGCTCATGCTTCTTGTGTGTGCGCTCAGCTTCGCAGTGGTTGTGACCTTCGTGTCGCCATTTTTGAAGCTCAGGCCGCCGGGGGAAGGGCCAACTGCGAGGTCCCACGAGTTCTTTCTCTTTTGATTAATGGAGGCCTTGTCGGACACCCAGCGGCAGTTCTTGCGGGACTTGGATCAGCTGTTGCAAGCCAGTCGCCGTGACGAGCAAGCAAAAAGTATATGTGCTGGAAGCAAGGCTGAAGAACTTGTGGCCGCAGCCACGCAAATGGAGCCCTGTACTGGAGAGGCCCCGACATGGAGGCCTCCAAACGGTATGGAAGTGCTCATAGCATTCTCTGCACATACGCGAGTGACCTCCTCCACGCGTGCACTCAACGTGTCCAAAACGAACTGAGCCAAGGTTGAGAATGGTGCCGAAGAGTCCGGCTCGAGGAACATGACATTCATCAAATGCGTCTGGCCTTAGGCCAGATTGTCCAGCCGATGGCGAAGGTTCTCACACTCTGCACTCAAGAAGAATTGATCACGATGCAAGAAAGCCAAAGTGACATCTGAAGCTGGCTGCCGACGGTCTCTAGAGTCGTCGGAGCGAGACCTTGACCTTTCGCGCAGGTGCCTGGGAACACGACGAAAAGGAGTCGTGATTGCGCCTTAACATGCAAGCACCCGAAAACACTTCTGGCGGCTCGTCGCTTTGTGCCATGCTGTTGCACTGCAGGCGCCAGCTCAGTACACTTGTGGTTTCAGCTGCGTCGTGCCTGTGCCTGTCAGGTCTCGCGAAGGCTACAGCCGTTTTTGCAAGGTTGTAGACTTCCATAGAGTGCCGGAGGCACTCTTGAAAATCGCGCTCTGCAAGGTGCGCCTGCCCGTGCACTCCGAGTGTGTTGTGGCAGTTCATGTCTTTGCATTTTCCCGAAAAGTGGGGCTTGAGTTTCTAGGCATAGAGTAATGGAGTTGCTGCGTGCCGAGCAGCATCAGAAGAAGAGACCCAAGCATGCTTGGGAGCAGGAGCCTCGGGGCATTGCTACTTTTGCATCAGTCTCGATGGAGGCTTCCTTCAAGTTGGGCCGCTCTGAGCACATGCTTTGGGAGCTCAGAGCTCAGCAAGGATCGAAGCAGGTGGACATTGTCGAGAATGTGAAACTGCCTGTGCTTCCTTATGCGGCTAGGAGGGCAAAGATGATGGACTGGCCTGAGATAGCAGATGACATGAAGAGGAAGTCGTTGCATCTCGTCAGGATCATGGTGGAGTCCGACTTCCATGCCACGAAGCTTGGGACCATGCTTTACGAGCTGAGTGGGAGCCTTGACAAGGAGCCTCAGATCCAGAGGACCATTGAGCTCACCTTTGCCAAGAAGGCCTCGGCTACCCTGCGTAAGAGGACTCTGGCGTTTTGGAAGATGTTCGTGTTCCACGTGGATCGGGGACATAAGTCTGGGCTTCATATGAGCGAATCCAGCCTCTTTCTGTACTTCGAATCGCTGCAGGGTGGGGCCGCTACCGCCCCGCAAAGTGCCCTTGAATCAATATTCTTCATGCACACCCTCCTGGGCATTAGAGCACCGATTGAGGACCTGGTGTCGCATCGCATCAGGGGCCTGGTCCACGAGGCAGCCATAACGAAGAGACCCTTGAAGCAAGCGAGGGGGCTCACGGTGGAGGAAGTGCGGTTTCTTGAGAGGCTCGTGACAAGAAGTCCAGACACGGCCGTTGTGTGCATTGCAGGGTTCTTCCTTTACGCCCTCACAAACAGCGCGCGGTGGGGTGATGCCCAGGCATCTACTCTGCCGACCTTGGATACCTCGGGATCGCGACCAATCTTGAGCTCTGGTACGCTTCGGCACAAGTTGGCGAGCACGGCCGAGCGGAAAACCACTCTGCTGCCCTTCGTGGGATTTGGTCAGCTGGTGACTAGCACGGCTTGGGCGCCGAAGTGGCTTGACGCCATGAAGAGGGCACGCCTTCCCAGGACTGGCGTGGACTACCTGATGCCTTCTTGGAATGAGTCTTCGAGCCAGTTCATCCGGAGGCGAATGACGAGTGGCGAGGCCACTCTTCACTTGCGTGAGATCCTCAGTCAGATGGAACAACCCCTATTGCAACCTCTGCCATCTTCGCATAGCCTGAAGGTTACGCTGCTCGCTTGGATTTGTTAGTCGTTAGTCAGGACTATTTTCCTTGTCTGAGAGACAGATCATTGGGCATCATCTTGATCGGCCGAGCACTAGTGCACTCACCTACGGGAGGGCCAATTTCGTGGGCCCCTTGGGAAAAGTGGCAGGCATGCTCGCTCGGATCCAGGACGGCTCCTTTAGGCCGGATGCTTCGGCGGCAGATCTTGTCGCGCAGCAGCTTCATCAGGAGGAAGCAGCGTCTGATGAGCTGGAGCGGAAATTGCATGGTGATCCTTGCGCTTGTGAGGACAGTGCCTCAGATGACATGGGGCATGATGATGCTGATCAGGCGGTCGCTGCAGCGGTGCCGGCGGCCGAACGCCGCATGGTGGAGGCTCCGGATCCGGACCGGTACCTGGTTCACCTGTCGTCTGCGGGATTCGATTCTGAAGCCACACGAGTGAACCACAGCGTGAAGTGGAACCGCCGAGCCACCCAGGCAATCATCGAAAGCATAATGAAGTGGTCAGGCAGCGGAGAGGAGCCCTTGATCAAGGAATCGCGCACACCGTTATTGTCGATAAAGACAAGGATGCGCCTGCCCGCCAATTCGGGGTCCCAGCTGATCAGAGACACCAGCACTGGGAAGAGCTCCAGCTGCGAGATGAGCTGAGTGCCACCATGCCTGCCCCAGTGCTCGATAAGGCATTCTGGAACAACCACCTCCGCCACCTTGGGTCCATGGTCCAGAGACTGGAGCACCGCCCCCGCACCTGCGATTCTGTTGTCCCATGCACCATCGGTAAAGAGCTTGATGGCATACCGCGAGTCAAGAGCATGTATCACCCTCGGAGAGTCCGTGGCGAAGCAAGCTGCGATGTAGCCAATCGCAAGTTTGAAATCGTCGGCCATAGCATCGTCCCAGCCGTTGGCCGCCACCTGTGACAAGAACTTGAGCGCTGGCTTAATGGGACAACCGTGAAGCTGGCCTTGAGCGAAGTTCAAGCGCCCATGCAAGGATGATGCCTCAGACCTCTTCATGTAGCCCTGCGACAAAAGCCGGTCAAGCTCAGCACGTAGTTCCACAACACGGTCCGGCTTGTTGCGCACCTTCAGGATGCCCTGGTCCGCAGTTTTAAGCGAAAGCTCAATCCCAAGCAGAGTGAAGGTCTGGGAGAACGGCTGATTCTTCTTTGGTTGCAGAGCAACATTCCAACCCAGGCAAGTGGACAGAAGCCCCACAATGAAGTCCTGAGCCGATCCCGACGAGGCCGATGGTTCCGCACAAGGAAAGTCATCGAAGTACACAGTGCAGCAAACTGAACCCATCGTC